TTATTGTCTATGTTGTTTTCTGTTCTCCCCTTGCAGCGCTCAGATAGCTGTATATTGTTTTTTGCCGTCTGTCTGATCAAGGTCGCTTTGCTTCATGTTTCCTTAGTTTTTCAGCCCCTGCAATCTGCTAACACGTGAGAACGTTGGGAATCCATTCCATTCGTTTGACATTATTAGCTGCGGATTAACGACTCGAACTATGAAATTTATCTTTTGGACTGACTCACTGCCTTGGAGCCTGTCCACTCAACCAACGTTATAGTTTGTCGCATCATTTTTACGAGGCTGTTAGAGCACTTTCGGTAAGACTGACTGCCTGGTTTGTGGAGCAGATTAGTATCCCACTGAAAAAAAATGCTCAGCCATCAATGTTTCATGTACTGGATTCTTTTACTGGAGACTTTCTGAATCGATGCAGCGCGCCAACGGCTTGCATCCGAGAGAAGTGCATTTTTCGCCCAAGTAAAACACGTCAGTTTGAAATACCCATCTTCAGGTAAAGAGTCTTCGTAACTGGTCTGGCAGTTCTTGACAATTCTGTTTAATCTGGTAAAGTACGAAAAAACAGAACTCTTGTCTGTTTGACTCTCACGAATTGACCAACCGTTCAGTGTCGCCACTGACCTCCCTGTTAATGTTCTCGACTTCAGTAATTAGTGCATTCTATAACGATTTTGTATTTATTTGTCATGAATTACGCTCCACTGCTGCATCGTTTTTAGCTTTCACACGCCGGATTGTATGCTATTAATGCTGCCCAGTTATTTTTAACAAGAAACTGTCAACGCCATTTTGTATATTACAGAGGCTCATATGTTCTGACCTTACTTCGGCTCTTAAGTCATTGCTGGATCCGACATCTTAAACTTCTTGAAATATCAATTTTTAGGACACTCCTTTGATTTCGTAGATTTAACAACCTTTTTCGCATTTAAGTTTCCATAAATTTAGAGCTAGTAGTATTTCAGCTTTCGCTGACACCTCCGAGGGCATGACCTGAAGAATTTTGCTATTGTAGCTGCTGATCTCAATGACAGTTTTATACGATGTTGTAATAGCAGACGAATGAAATATATTTGCATACAATTGGTGATTTCTTAACCTTTCATTAGCAATTGTCGAAAGTTTTATCATTACTGCTTGTTTCGGCTAAGTTTTCTGTGTGTACCTTATTCAATGCGCGGTTGCTTCTTTTTAATCCAATTTTTTAAAAGGTTTTTATTTTTTATTGAACTTCATTAACTTTTTGATCACTTAAATCCGTAAATGCGCGAATCTTCTTGCGAAAATGTGCCGTGCGACTTTTGCTGCAAAAATGTAGATTTATGCTATGATATGGTTTTTTTTCTGTACGTAAGCGTTGATTTTAGTTTGGACAGAAATCACAT